CCAGGGGCACGAGGGGCCATCAACTCAGATTGGAAAGAAGTCACTGTAGACTAAATTTGCGAGCTAGGTTCTTCACAAACAGAGTTATACCACTGTGGAATAAACTACCTGAAGCAGTGGTTAACTGTGTTAATGTCGAATCTTTCAAGAGAAGGCTAGATGAATGCTGGGCAGTGGTATTCCCTGAAGTTGAGTGTTGAAAGTTAATCGTTAGGCTTTACTTTCAGAAATACTATAAGGGATCTGATACTGCACACTAACATTCTGCCTTTCAGAAACTACTATTGACTCGAAGTGTTGGAAGCCAACGAAACCGCCGACAACACAAAGAACTGGACGCGCGATTGGCAAGAGCCACAATTCGTCCTGGGAGAACTGAACTGAACTGAACTGGCAATCGCCGTCACGATCCTGGCCACCAACTGAACTGAACTGCACTGACTTCAATACTTCGAGATGCAGATAAAATAACAGCAATGCAATATTATTGCCCAAAAATGGTAAAAAAATTGATGAATAACTGATACTTGCCCTTGCAATAACTGAAATAGCTTTCAATGGGTTATCTCTTCTTTGAACGCGCCCACATGTGGAATCCGCCACCTTCAAATCTGCGTAAGGTTTAGCGTGCTGTCTGGCGCGTTTGCCGGTTTAAGCGGTTTTCCTGGTTGATTGTAAAGGTTAAGCGGGCTAACCATTGAGAGAATGAATCCCTTGTTATACAGACCTCCGCCAATTCCCCATTTCCCCATGCTGCATTACCATGGACCGCCCCAACAAAGAAGTTAGTTTGTCGTCAGGCCGGTTGATTACAATACCTCTAGGAGATACTCAGGTTGAAGTGGATCTAGCCAGCGTTGCTTTGCAAATTCAGAGAAAACGTTTTTATGTGGACGTGAAGAAGAATCGTCGTGGGATTTTCATGAAAATAGCTGAAGTGTGTTTGAATTTTTCACCCTTGCATTCTGTAGGTTGGGGTTGATGGCCGGAAGGCTAGGATATTGTTGACTCTAAGTGCCGCTGTGGAGATAAAGGATAAGCTGAAAGACCTGATTGAGGTTCTTGACGAGGTTCTGAAAAAAGGCGAGACGGAGGAGTCTCAAGAATCTAAAGCCCAAGAAACTCAAACGGCACCCGAGAACAAAAACCAAGACACCAATGTGACTGATGAGTTAATCAAATCCCACATTGTCAATTATCCTTATCGGAGATACTTCCTCGACTTGAAAAAGAATCGGAGAGGGCATTTTCTCCGTCTAACCATGTTGTCTACCCTTAGCCGAGTCCAACTTGCCGTCCCATCTCAAGGCATGAGCGATTTGTACAATGCCATCACGGAGCTTTTGGAAAAATGGTGGGATGGTTCCAAGACAGAAGAGCAAAAAGGTATGCTTTTGTTTGTCCCATTTGCAACTGCTAGCGGTTAATCTACCCGAGTCAAAGGTTTTACGGGTTGATAACAAAACGCTGTACTTTGATTCTTCCTTCAACCGTTTTGGGACGTACCTCCGCATTTCTGAGGTGCGGACTTCATCACGGACGGCAATTACAATCCCCAGTCGGTCCCTTTCTCGCTTCCGCGACATTATCAATGGGCTAGCTGAAGACCTAAATAATATAAAGGTAGGATGCGATCTATTTTACAAAGTATTCCACAGGAGAGTAAACAGACTGAAGAACCACCGGCTCCAACCGAAACCGCGACCGAGGAAAAAGAAAACCCTCCTGCTGCAAACGGTGATATACCCTAATGGCGTCAACCCTTTGATCTTCCCTGTATCTGCNATGCCTTCGATGAGCAAATGCAAGTTTCCTATAAATCTTTCTGATTTCCTCCAGCTCCAATATAGTTGGTTGACCTTGGAGGTGACAGCAGTGTTAGCAATTGAGTATTGACTACTCAGTCGTATTTATTTGAAATGTCGATGCCTATGGCAGCTTAAGGCTCTTCTCCCCCTCGGCCATTTTCTGTGATCGACATACCTTACCAACTGCAGAGCAATTAATAGTTTAAGGTTATCTGCTCTAGTTTCTTTGTTAGGTTACAACTACATAGTGTGGGCTCCAATCACAGTATCTAGGGAAGACGTCCGAGTGCTTGCGGCTGGATAGCCGCTTAGCGACCTGTTCTGACTTTCGATTCCGGAACTTCATCTCTTTTTATCTGTGCATGTCAAACACGGGTCAGCATCAGAGTAGGCGCAGTAGTTTGGTCGTTGTCACCGGCGTGCCTTGGAACCTAAGACCCGAGGTTCGAGCACCGCCACCAGACTGGTGGTAGTCAGCTCTGTTGTCGTCCGGCTCAATACCACGACTAACATCGGGGCCTTAAGTCCTGGGGCTTAAGTTACCGGTTACCATTACTGAACAGCAGCTCTTCTGCTGTTCATCGCACTTAGGTGTGTGATGGAAAAAGTCTATAGCTGTACGGTTCCAATGTCGATTTGAGGCTACCAGCAATCCCGGCCCTTGGGAATGAAGTAGCGAACCACGCAAGGTTTTCACATGGACGTGATATCACGTCGGACAGCAGCAGAACTCCAGCTGCCATCGTCATGTTTCAAACTTCAGATTCAAGCACCCGGACCACGCTATTACCATTGGCTAAAATCCACGGGGTTTACTTCTTACGATTCAACATTGTGCCCATTCTCTTCCATTCCCGCTAAGGGATCATCGATGCTTGATTTCCCCTTTAATTTCGAAGGCTGTATTTCAAGTCTCACCGACTGACCTTCGGATTCACTGCCCTGCACTCAATCCATGTCAATACAGGCACTTATTCAACTTCACAAGCGCCATGGTATTCCATTGCTGAGTAGACGTCTTGCAAACCAATGGTGCCTCATGAACTGTATAGTTCAGCTAGTTGATTTCGTGATATCCGCGCAGTAGCTCGGTGTCACCTTTTGTTTCATATCTGTCAGTTCTGAATACGTACATTTCACTCAGTAGTTGAATTCGGTATGACATTGCAGCATAATTCACGACTTTGCCTTTGCCAATTGTGTATTTTGACAAGCGTTCTTTTTGTTAGTTTCATGCTCACAGTGCTTCAGTAGGTTCTCAAATGTCATTGGACGAATAAAAGCCATATTTCTCCAGCTGAAAGGTACGAAAACTCCTTGTTCAGGCGTCGATGCTTGCCGTGGCATGACTTGAATCTGGGTCAGCAGTTCTTTTAATCGAGAACTTGCTCATCCACCATCAGGAGTGCGCAGATTTCGCGGGTCGGTTAGTGTTTTAGGTATAGTTGTCA